TAATACAGTTCCTCATGTTGTGGTGACCCCCAACCATAAAATTATTTTCGTTGCTACTTCATAACTGTAATTTTGCTACTGTTATGAATCATAATGTAAATATCTGATATGCAGGATGTATTTTCATTGTTACAAATTGAACATAATTAAAGCATAGTGATTAATCACAAAAACAATATGTAATTATATATGTGTTTTCCGATGGTCTTAGGCGACCCCTGTGAAAGGGTCGTTCGACCCCCAAAGGGGTCGTGACCCACAGGTTGAGAACCGCTGCTTTAGGCAGTAGACCGCTTTTGATTCTTTTATACCAAACTATATTACACTATTGTCAAATTCCCACACTAGCACTTATTTCATGAACTTTTGCAATTATCCAAAATTATGTTCATAAACTCCAAAAGTAATTGACATATATGCAATAAGTAGTCTAATGTAAAGAGCTTTTATCGTTTCCTTAGGTATACAACAAAACAATGCAATTTGATGTGGAACTTTTAGCTTGGTAATTGTGGAATTAATTTAATTGTGGAGGCTAAAGTCTCTAAAGGGGAAATTAGCATTTCTTTTAATTTTTCTTAAGGACAATGGGCTTATATATTTTTTCCCATTACAGAGTAAGAAATTTCCCTTTTTCCTTTCATAAGGTGAATGTCTTCAACTCTATTTTATTCTTTCTCTTCTAGCCTTAAAATGTAGTTATATTGTTCTATCTTAAAAGAAAAAGAAAACTTTTTATATCTTCCTTTACTTTTGCCCTGTTTCTCTTTTCTCTCATAGCCATTGTCAAGTGAAGAATAGTTCACTGTCATTTCTTTCACTTACTAGTTCTAAAATCGTTTTTCCTGGCCTGTGCTGTTTCAATTGCCTGCCTTTTAACTGGTCTGTGTATAGTCCCATTCTACATTATTGTATATCCTACACTGCCAGTACAGTGATATTTTTCAATATGTGAATTACAGTGTCTTTCTCCTTAAAAACTTTACCATGGTTTTCTGTCAGTGTTGCTCAAAGACTGAGTTTATAGGTTTATGCTGAGCTGGCTGTGGAAACTCAACTTTCTATCCTTATCTGCATGATTTTGATGTACAGTCAGGTTTGGAACCACTGGCTTACATGATAAAATCCTTGATGGATGGAAGGCCTCCAAGGTCTAGCTCTAGGTTATCTTCCCAATCTTATCTTACCATTTCCTGTTTTGTGCGCTATGCTCAGCAATACCACACTGCTGACAGTTATGGGAATTCCAGGCAACTTTATTTTTGTCCCCCCCCCCCACCCTCACCTTCCTGGAATGCTTACCTTCCTTATCTGTCTGGAAGTTCTTACTCAGTCCTCAAGATCCATTACCTTCTCTGTGAAACGTTTTCTTACATCCCTGAGTAGAGATTGACACCTTCCTTGCTTCCATTGTACCTATCACGCCATGTTTTATTTATGTCTTCTCGACTAGTCCATAAGTTACTAATGAATGATGATTGCATTCGTCTTGTATCCAAGAACCTAGAAAAGTACCTGGCACTCATATAAGGTCCCTCAGAAATGTTTGCTTATCCAAAAGGCTAAATACAAATAGTTTTTAACAACCCCTTATACTACATAATAGTTATATTGCTGATTCCTGTTTTTGGTTAAATTACCACAGATTTTTAACTCCCCTTAAAGCCACGCAGAGTCTCCGTGAATATTGTTATTATTGTAAAGTATCTATTTCCTAAGCCTAAAATGGAAATAAAAGTAAATATTTTTACAGATTATACTAGGGAGATAGTAATAGCATATTGGTGTAAAGCACTGGTTTGTAGCCTGTTCAATGATTTCATCTCAGTTCTAATACTAATTTGCTGAATGACTGTTGGCATATTGTCCATATTCTGTCTCAATTTCCTCATCTATAACTTGGGTATTCTAATATCATCCGTGAGCACTTATTGTTAGGACTGAATGAGGTAATTTATGTAGTGCTTAACACAGTTGCACGTGGTCCTCCCTAAAGAGATCGTATACAAGGGAAGATTTGCATAGAAGTGAAGGAACAAGCTGTGCCGCTATCCTGGGTTCACCAGCATATGCCCTGAGACAGGACGTGCCAGTTCCTGTAGAGACTATTTTTGTTCTTCTCCCGGTCTTTATTCCATTTCTGGGCATACCCCCCAACCACCACCACCATATTTATACTTATTTACATATGTGTGTAGAGGACATGGTTTTTGGTTCTCAAAAAACTCAGTCTATTAGAAAATAAGCAAATATATGCCATGAATGTACTATACTAGCATTCTTTTTTTTAAAAAAAGATTTCTTTTATTGAAGGATTTATATACACAAAGAAATGTGCAGAAATCATGAATTTTCACAAAATCATCACACCCAGCCCATGTTAACATCAAATCAAAAGAGAGGACATTTCCAGAACACCAACATCCTCTCTTGTTCCACTTAGTTATTATCCTCCTAAAGATAACTATTATGTCCGCTCCGACTTTTAGTTGTATTTTTGAAGTGGTTGTCCACGGCGGCAGTCTCCGGTGTTTACCTATGCCGCCATCTTCCAGCAGGCTCCTTTCCGAGAGAATCATTGTTTATAGTTATAGTTTGTTCATTCTCATGGCTGTATAGTATTCTATTATATTCAAACATTGTAGTTCATTCATTCTATGATATGTGGTCATTTGGATTGTTTGTAATATGAAGCTGTGATTTGTGCTTCTTTGAATTTTCTTGAACATGTCATTTGGTTAACATATTATGCATTTCTTTTTAGTTTACACCTAAGAGTGCAATTCTGGGTCATAGATTAGCTACTATTTTTAATGCTAATTATGTTAGAGGAAATATAGGAAATAATAAGAAAATAAAATGGTATTTTAAAATCTATATTTTAGAAAGACTGAATTAGGCATCATTTTTTTTAACTCTTGATAAACATGTTAATACATGTTTAATAATATTAAGATAGAAAAACATTAAAATAGAAAGATGAAATCGGTTTCCACCAACTATTTGATAAAAATTAGTAAGGGTACGATGAGAGAAAAATGAATTACATTTGTTATAGCAAGTGCATTTTTTGTATATGAGTTTTTAAAATATATGATATTGAAACATTCAGATATTGTGTTTACATATTTTTCTGTGTTTTTTTTCCCCCCTTAAATTATAGGAACCAGATGTTAAAAAATTAGAAGACAGGCTTCAGGGTGGCCAAATAGAAGAGGTGATTCTTCAGGTAAAGAAAAAGTTGAATATTTAGATGTTTGGCTTCAAAAGTTCAGAGACATAATGTATTGAGGCACAAAACTGACATTCCAGAAAGAAAGGAAAACTAAATTTCTTTTATCAACTCATCAAACATAAGACTAATCACAAGTAGAAAATACTTCTAATGTATATAACAGTTAAATATCATTGATTATAACTTGAATTTATGAGGCTTCCATTAGAAGTTTGGAGTTTTATATTTAAATATAATGGGCATGTTCTTATTAGCCTTACCTTAGTTCAGATTAGTTACACAATATTACTGTTTCTTGAATAATTTTATCTTTTTAGATACAAATACTTTGAAATTTTAACGGATTGGTAAGAATACTACAATTTTTAATTAAATTGGGGGAAATGATGCCCCCCCCCCTTTTTTAGTTGTGCATTTACCCGCCAATTACTAGTAAGATTAAATGTTTAAAACAATGTTCTTATATTTCATGTTCTATAAATTATTAGTATTTAAGAAATTTTTAATTGCTTTTTTAGAGAGAGACACACATTGATTTGTTGTTCCACTTATTTATCCATTCATTGGTGATTCTTGTATGTGCCCTGAATGGGGATCAAACCCACAACCCAGGCTTATCTGGATGACACTCCAACCAACTGAACCACCCAGCTAGGGCAATTATTAATATTTTGTTGTTGTTGTTAATCCTCACCTGAGGATATTTTTCCATTGATTTTTAGAGAGAGTGGAAAGGGAGGGGAAGAGATAGGGAAACATCGATGTGAGAGAGATACATCGATTGGTTGCCTCTCATATGAGCCCTGACCAGGGCTGGAGATTGAGCCTGCAACTGAGGTACGTGCCCTTGACCAGAATTTGACCTAGGACTCTTCAGTCCGTGGGCCCACACTCTATCCACTGAGCCAAACCAGCTAAGGCGATATTTTTATTCTATAATTTGTTTTTCTTACATATTTCTTTGAGAGTTGTTTTAAATTAAGAGATACTAACCTTAATCTTTTGGCATATTGCCTAAACATTTTTTTTAGCCTGTTGTTTTGTCTTTTGACTTCAATTGGATATTATCTCCCATATGTAGAGGTTTTAAAAATTTTTATTTGGACAAATAATCCTCCCTCAAAAACTCTCATGTCTTCCTCTTATGTGAGTCTTATAAATATTCAGTTCTGTTTCATTTATTTTTTACACTAGAGGCCCGGTGCACGAAAATTCGTGCACTCGGGGGCTCCCTCAGCCTGACCTGCCCCCTCTCACAGTCCGGGAGACCTCAGGGGATGTCCTACTGACGGGTTAGGCCCGCTCCCCATGGGGAGCGGGGCATAAGCTGCAGTCTGGTCTCCCTCTGCTGGAGGTGAGGGGGCCAATCATGGGAAGCCAACAACCCCCATCACCCTCTCGCTGCTGCTGCTGCCTCTGGCCTCCCTCTGCAGGAGTCGACTGGGATGATCAGGGGAAGACGACGCCCCATCGCGCCGCTGCTGCTGCCATTGCCAGCCACCGCTGAGCCTCGGCCCGGCCCTTGCAGCAGCTGCCGCCATGCCAGCTGCAGCTTGCCTGGGCTTGAGTCTCAGCCTCGGCCCTCGTAGCAGCTGCCGCCATGCCATCCACGGCTTGCCTGGGCCTGGGTCTCGGCCTCAGACCCCCAGGCCTGGCCGCACTCGGAGCTGGGAGGAGGTGGGACTCCCAGGCAGGCTCCGTGCTGCGCCTGCAGCATCAAGACCAGCCACGCCCACCTGCGTGCGCCCGCTGTGCGCCCAGCCATCCTGTGATGGCGTGGCGACTACTTAGCCTTTTATTAGTAAGGATTTTTTTGAATTTTTCAAAAATGTAATCATTTTTTCTTAAGTTTTCTTGCCTTTTATCAAAGGATAAATAAGAGGAAATATTTGAAATTATTGTAGATTAGGGAAGTATTTCAATAATAGACATATTTAAAAGCATTGTTAGATGGCTCCGTTAAAAGAAAAATAGGGCATTCAGACAACTTTTGATGAATGTCCTGTTTCAATCATTAGAGGCCTATTTTCCTGGCCTTTCTGTTCATTAGCATAAAGTACTAGATGTAGAGTATGGGAACTTACTGCAAACTTATTATTATTGTCCTCTTCCTAATCTTTTTTTCTACCTGATTTCACTTTGATCATGACTTTAGTTGATAAATTATCAAGCAATTGTAGTCTCATGATACATTAAGTATTTTTAAGTCAGTTCTGCAGTTCTGCACATTTTCATGGGCAATGTAAGGTTAATATTTCTATATAATAAAAGGGTAATATGCAAATTGACCCTAATGCCGGAACGACCGGTCGCCTCCTTGGCAGCACTAAGGATGTCAGTCAGACATCCCCTGAGGGCTCCTGGGCTGCCAGAGGGATGTCTGACTGCCACCTAGGCCCGCTGCCCCGGGGAGCGAGCTTAAGCTGGCAGGTGGACATCTTCTGAGGGGTCCCAGACTGCGAGAGGGCGCAGGCCGGGCCAAGGGACCCCCGCCCCCGAGTGAACGAATTTTTGTGTACCGGGCCTCTAGTGTTTTATATAACCCGATATATCTAAAATACTATTGAAACATAAGTATTATAAAAAATTGAGATATTTTACATTCTTTTTTATACTAAATCTTCAAAATTTGATGTGTATTTTAACACGTGCAGCACATCTGAATTTGAACTAGCTACATTACAAGTGCTCCCTCAGTAGTCACATGTAGATAGTGGTTACCATATTGGGCAGCCCATTCTAGAGCTATAGTAAGAGAGGGCTGAGGAAAGGATAGTGTGTCAGAAGCTAGAGACGAGGAAGGAGTGGGCTACAAGGGCTGTATGCAACTGGGTCCAGCTCTCTGAAATAAGGCTGGCTTCACTGATGGTTAGAGCTGGACAGCCTCCCCACACTACGGTGCTTTGGGGTCGTAGAGAAAGCATGAATATTCAAGAGACCCAGATCAAGGAAATGGCCATCCTAAGGGATATTTTTAATCAGTATTTATACTGTTTTCTTATTTCAGCCTTGGTAAATACTTCTACCTCCAGATTTCGTTTAGTCTACTATTTAACTCATTGTTTATATACATTTTAGACTGTTGCTGCTAAACATAGATTGGCTGTTCTGAACCACTTGAGAATTACAGCTTCTGCTAGGATGAATCTAAGCACTTATTCTGTTTTGAATTCCTTCCATGACATCCTGACAAGTGTTCAACAGTGTTCTTCCAAGTTGGCCAGAGTTGTCATAGGTCTCTTTGTTCTAGAAAAAATGTGAAATAATAAGATACATAAAATATATTTGTTAGATGTGTTATGAATTGTATTTGAAAGGAAAAAGCGAATGTAACAATCTGATTAAGGAAACTAGTTCAATCAAAAATATTTTTGTGCGCCTACTGCATTCTACATTCCATAGATCACTGTTTTACAGACTGGTCTCAAGTGATTATGGGTCATGAAATCAGATAGGTGGGTTGTGTCTAGTACTTAAAAAAATACAATAGAGCCTGGCTGGCATGGCTCAGCGTTTGAGTATTGAACTATGAACCAGGCACGTGCTGGGTTGCAGGCTCAGGGCCATGTATAAGGCAGCTGGTCAATGATTCTCTCTTATCATTGATGTTTTTCTCTCTCCCTGTCCCTTACTCTCTGAAATCAGTAAAAAAATTTGTTAAAAAATACAATAGAATATAGAGTGTATCACAGCTAGTAAATGTAATATTTTTTTCTTTGAGTTATATGTGTGTGTTATAGATCCCTTAGTAAAATTTTGTTTTGTTTCTTTTGTTTACTCTGAACCGTGGTAAAATAAAATTTGAAAGCCATTGACATCAATGAAGAGACATACTTTTGCTTCTCAAAGAATTTGTAGTCTAATGGTGAAATAGACAATTAAGATAAAAAAACTCACCAATTAAACTTTTGAACTACAATCTAATATCAAATTTTAATCAAATAGAAGAAATAAAAATCTATTATTCTTACTCTTGGTAGTTACATAACTGACAGTTAAGGTAATATTAATACATTGTTTGCGGGTAGTTTTAAACGCGCGCTAACAGGTGGCTCTACTTCTTACAGTCAACGTAAAACGTATAAATACGTTTCCTGCATACAGTGTGTTAATAATCAACATTTGATAGAACAGCTTATTAGGTACGACTATGAAAATAGTAGCTCTAGTAGTTATATTTTAGTTATTAGCTATGATAAATATCTATGAAACAGTATAAGCAAATGATTTTTTAAAAATATTTTATTGACAGGCTGAAAATGAACTAAGTCTGGCAAGAAAAATGATACAGTGGAAGCCATGGGAACCTTTAGTGGATGAGCCTCCTGCCAACCAATGGAAATGGCCAATATAATCATCATCAAATAACTTGTGTGTTGAAGGGAAAATGATGTGATTAAATGTTCTGTTATATCAAAAATGTTTCCATATTATTGACATCTTAGAATCAAGAAAACTGATAATGCAGAACGTTTTTAGGAGACTTGTAAAAACTGATAATTATGGTAACAGGGACTTGCAAATCAGTTTTTGTTCAAGCATTCAAATTGTCCTATATAATAAAACCCTAATATGCAAATCAACCAAATGGCAGAACAGTCGGTTGCTATGACATGCATTGACCACCTGCCTCTTGCACGCCCCCCACTGGGATGTGCCCGCAACCAAGGTACATGCCCTTGACCGGAATCGAACCTGGGACCCTTCAGTCCGCAGGCCGACGCTCTATCCACTGAGCTAAACCGGTTCGGCAGCAAATCAGTTTTTGTTAAAGTATTCAAATTGTCCTATATAATAAAACCCTAATATGCAAATCAACCGAATGGCAGAACAGCCGGTTGCTATGACATGCATTGACCACCAGGGGGCAGACGCTTAATGCAGGAGCTGCCCCCTGGTGGTCAGTGCACTCCCACAGGGGGAGCTCTGCTTAACCACAACCCAGGCTGAGGGGCTGCGAGTGCAGCAGCGGTGGTGGGAGCCTCTCCCACCTCCTCAGCAGCACTAAGGATATCCGACTGTGGCTTAGGCCCGTTCTTCGTGGGGAGCGGGCCTAAGCCTTCAATCAGACATCCCCCCTGGGCTGCCAGAGAAATGTCTGACTGCCAGCTTAGGCCTGATTCCCCAGGGAGCGGGCCTAAGCCCGCAGTCGGACATCCCTTCAGAGGTCCCCGACCGTGAGAAGGCACAGGCCAGGCTGAGGGATACCCTCCCCCCCCCCCTTCTAGTTTCAAAGATAATATATTTTTAAATAGAAGTTCTAGGAAGATTTGAAAGTTAATTGGAAAAATTCTTACGTGTTTTGAAACCAGAAAAGAAGTTATTGCTTAAACAAATGTATAGGTCACTATTTGAAGTGAAGTAGCAAGAGTAAAAACTAATAAATTAGAATTGATTGTACAGTTGAAGAAATTGATTTGTATTTGAAAGAAAGATTTATTTACAGTGGTAGTTGGAAAACTTTTTTGGGGGGGTGGGGCGGGCGGTCTCATTTAAGGGAGTTAGGTTTCTGGTCCTTAACCAAAGTACATCAGAATAGAAAGAGAATTTCTGTACAAGAAGAGATATTAAGAGTTTCTAAAGTTTATCTGGCATATGGATAGGCTTATTTTCAAAACATCTTGTATGGTTATAACTTCCAAGTGAAATCACTAAGGAGTTTTTACTAAGTTTCCAATATGAGGTAGTTGATTTTCAAACAGAACATAAAGCTGTTCAAGGAAAAAAGTGATTGATATGTTTAAGGGTAAACAAAAATAAAATTACTTCTCAGGTGTCCTCTTTTCTTTCTAGCCCTATATCTTTCTAAAAATTTAGTTAAATTTGGTATTTCTTTCCTTCAAAGATAGTACTTTTGGGTGTCTATGTGTATGTGCATGTGCATGTGCATTTTGCTATCTGTGGCAAAGCAGAATCTTTCAGATTGAGAAAATTATATTTTTCTTTTTCCCAATATATTCCCTTATAGAGCTGTACATTGAATGCTTAATAAATATTAAATGAAGTGGATTGAGTTACTTTTCAGCAGCCAGACTGTAAGGGGAAAGCTTCTGTGGGGAAGTGAGGAAAAGCATTAGAGAGAGAGGGTGAGGTCCAGGCTTCTCATTCCCATGATTCTAGTGCCATTGTGAACTCCAAATGGAGGCAAGTTGTAACTTCTCAGAAGGGCCTATTTCCTTCTCTGTAAAAGAAGTAGAATTTGTGATTTATAATTTCCTTTTCAATTCTAAACATTTGCTTTAATATGTCATACATTGTATTTATTGAGATCAAAATACATGATTGATCCTAAGGCATGTTTGCATAGATGCTTTCAGGATAATTTTTTAACCAACCATAAAAAGGTGGCTTGATGTGCCTTTGTCATATATTTAGCCCCAGTTCTCCCATGATTCTTGGGTATCATATATTTCATCAACAAAGCTCCAGTAGCTATTGATAAAAGGGGGCCTATTGATGTTTGCAGTTGAAATGTTCGTTGTAGTATAGTCGTAGTTGTAGTAATTATTATTAGAACTAGAGACCCATTGCACAGATTCGTGCACCAGTGGGGTCCCTCAGCCTGGCCTGTGTCCTCTTGCAGTCCAACATGCCCCAAGGGATGTAGTAGTGTACGAAGTGGCAGGCGGCTGGGGAGGAGCCCAAGCCCAGGCCAGCACTGCGCGCTCCTGCTCATCCTGGCCCCGCTGCTCTGCTACCGCTGCCGCTTGGTAGTGCTGCTGCAGAGGCGGGAAAGGCTCGTGCCACTGCAGCTGAGCTTGCCAGCCATGAGCCTGGGGCCCATTGGTCAGCTGAGCAGTGCTCCTGCTGTGGGAGCGCAGTGACCACCAGGGGGCAGCTCATGCATGGAGCGTCTGCCTCCTGGTGGTCAGTGCGCATCATAGCAACTGGTTGTCCGGTCGCTTAGGCTTTTATATCCTGTATAATAAAAGCCTAATACACAAATCGACTGAACAGTGGAACGACTGGTGGAATGACTGGTCGCTATGATGAGTACTGACCACCAGGGAGTAGACGCTCAACACAGGAGCTGCCCCCCGCCTGCAGGCCCTAGGCCAGGCAAAGCGGGTGCCAGCAGCCCCCCCCCCCTCCCGTCGCCCCACAGATCGGCCCTGATCACCAGCCAGGCCTAGGGACCCCACCCATGACGAATTTTGTGCACTGGCCTCTAGTATATAGATAATAGCTAATGTTTGTTAATGTTTGCCAGGCACTAAAAGTACTTGACTGATTTCACTTATTAAATACGTATGACAGCTAAGAGTGAGACCCTGAAAATTATCTTCATTTTCCAGAAAAGGAAACCAGAATCCAAGGTGAGTAGTGCTCCCCTGCAATTGTGCAACATGGGGATCCTGGAGAAATTGAGACACAGAGATGGTGTAATAACATACCCAGGGTTGCATAGCTAGTAACATGGAGCTACATTTTGAACCTAGGACAGTCTTGCTCCAGAACTCCTGCCCTAACCATTGTATTATTCCTTACGAATGCTTGAGATGTCACTCCTGCTGAGCCATATGGGCTGTACCAAAAGAATCTAGATCCTGCTTTCTTCACTTTTTCTGTCAAAGTACATACAAAGAATAAATACGAACAGAAGTAGTCAACTGGATTTTACTTTGTGCAAAAATCTGCACTTGGATCACAGGCTGATAATTGGTAGGTATCTGAAAGGCATTGCACTGTGGACCATCATCCTCTCACATTTCATAATTGCCATTCCAACTGCCCATACAACCTTACACTCGATTGCTTTTACTCTTTCAAATGTTTTAAGTTGCTTCCTATAAACTTCCAGATTAAGCTTTCCTGAGCAATTGGAGATGTGTTCTATTTAAAGATACTCAGTGTTGCTTAGTGGCATCTAGATTAACGTGAGTGAGTTTCAGAATGGCCCATTTCAATTTTCCTTAAGTTCCTCATATGTTTTATTCAATTACCATAATCCAGGCAATTCAAAAGAGAAGCTGATCAACTTGAGCTTTGTAAACAAAAAAACGGCAGCAAAATCAATGCCCCCTTTCTATCTGTGGACTGAATGCAGAATATTCAAATTTATGGGCATGCTTCATTTTGGGGTGAAAATGGTTTATATCTGTATAACTGATTTTTTATTTAACCTCTAATGATTTTGAGAGTGAAAGAAGTTATAAGGATAATAGGTATAAGTCATGACTGCCCTGGGCAAACAGGGTATGTGGCACCCACTTGGAGTAAGAATCAACTCTGAGGGTCGCCATCTCTTCTATACCAGGAGAAGTTGGTGTAGTCTGTCATCTGAATAGAAAGAATATGATGCCATTAGTGGCAACCATCATATGCCACCAGGCTTCACTCTTCGTTATTCTCCTCTCCTACCTTTCCCTCAACTTTGGGGATGGAGTTTATTTTGATTGTAGTATTTCCTCTCCCTCTCTCTCTCTCTCTCTCTCTCTCTCTCTCTCTCTCTCTCTCTCTCTCCCTCTCCCTCAATGAATTACATTTTTAATTGATTTTTAGAGAGATAGAAACATTACTGAGAGAGAATCAGCAGCTGCTTCTTGCACTCTTACAGGATATCAGTCCTACAACCTGGACATGTGCCCTGACCAGGAATCGAACAGGAGACCTCTTGGTTCATGTGTCACTCAACCATTGAGCCACACTGACCTAAAATGTAGAGAGGTGAAGGTGAGTTTTTGTTGTTAAAATGCAAAGCAGGTTTATTTGCATGGATGACAATGAGGATTAAAATACTAGATAAAAAGGAAAGAAAGCAGTCTGTCTAATGGAGATCAAGATTCCTAAGTAGCTGACTTTGGGACTTACTGCAACGGGAAGACTTGCTGTATTGCCTTTAGGATTTCACTTATATGCAGAATCTAATGAACAAAATAAAGTAGAAACAGATACAGAAAACAGACTAACAGCTGTCAAAGACTAACACCTGTGGAGTTGTGTGAAAAAGTTGAAGGGATTAAAACACCTCATAGACAAAAGTATGGTGATTACAAGAGGGAGAGCAGGGTGGGGACAGGTAGAAAGTAAAACGGGGATAAATGGTGCTGGAAAGAGACTTGACTTTGGATGGTGAACACACAAAACAATATACAGATGATGTGTTATGTAATTGTACACCTGAAACCTACATAATTTTATTAACCAATGTCGACTTCCCTCCACCCCCACCAAAAAAAGTTGTCTCTTCACCTGATGTTCAGCAGGCTTTTCAAACAGGCCTCTCCACTGGACTAGTTCTAATTTCTTCTGACAGCCATGGTGATAATTCAGATAGGCTGAACTCCAAAAATGTTGGAAAACAGAAAACTTTTTCACAACTCATTGGAAGCACAATCTGACTGGAATTGACATAAGGCTACTAGTATTGTAGTCTTTACCCCACTTTAATGTGAATATGATGTATTTTACCATAGAAGT